CATCAATCTACCGCAATTACATAACTCGCATGCGTACATCCGCACGCATGCTCAACAAGACACCAAATATACCAGTCGTGTATCATAACCTGTAAATAGTACTACGCGTGATATCTCTATAATAGTAAACGACTAAGCTGCTGAAACGCAAGTAAAAATACTAATTCTATACTAATAACAGAGCCTAACCTACAGTAATTACTCTCACATATTAGTTAACCATAGCTATAATAATTCTTGCAGTCTAAATTACCAATACGGCGCATGATGCAACCAAGTAATTACGAAATGTTCCAATGGTATAAAATCAACTGGATCCATGGTAATTACTTAATTATTCTATTATTCCCCTAAACACAACACAAAATAGTCTATACAATGTCAATTAAGTCCAACTTATAGTTTAAAGTAACAGGTTAGCTGCACCAAATCACCGATCACAATATAAAATAATAGTCGATTTATAAAATCTATAACGACGCATCGCTTCTCCTGTTATTTACTCACGACAAGTGTTAAATACTGGAAGAAGGCTACCAGTTCCCTATTTTAACCTATTTACATGATATATTCAGTGCTTTTTATAATAATAATATACCCAATCCTATCATGAAACTCCAAAACTCCTTTTGAATTTTACGCCATCAGCTATAAAAATGCGTCATTAGCTACGATAGCCAATGGTGCTGAAATTAGCACGGAAAATTAACGGCGCAAGCGCGGTTGCTCTTATTGGCTAAAATCCTTTGACGTAACATGATTACACCCAATGAGATCTCTCAACACGATGGCTGTCTATACAGCGCCATCAGCGTCTTCTCGCGCAGAGAATAAACACTAAAAACCCTTAGTCCTCCCCTGCTATTGATGCAGAGTGCGTAGTACCGGCAACCCGTACGTTAACCTACAAACTTAACATGTGACGCAATTAAAATTCGGACTCCTAAAACAGGTAACTAATCATGCAAGACAACAACGATGGGTCTTAAAATCTAGGCGAGATGAAAAAAAATTGCTCTAGTGAAAAGATAGACAGTATATCACATGGATATCATCGCAATTTATAAAAACACGAGATGCAACTAATGCGCATAACTAAACTGAACCCTAAAAGCAAGTACCAGGCATATCGTAAAATTGGTGCACCTGAGAAAAATCAAGTTGCTACAACAGTCACAACAAGGTCAGGATTGCATAAGAATTATACAGGATCTAAAAATTTTTTCTAAGTAAAATAATAATGAGACTATTTTAATAGATAGAAGTCACCTTGTGCAAATGCGCATGCTCCAATGTATAATGGCTACCTTACAACCAATAATCTAACTGGCTTCTACCTGTTTCAAGGTCTTATATTGCGCATGGCATATGTAAGTGCACTGCTCGATTCCTAACATAACCTAAATTACTTTGACAGATTATATAACCTTAGTAACTCTTATATCACAAAATAGTTCTACAATAACAATATCAATTAAATTTAACATATAGTCTTAAAAGTAACAAATTAGATGCACCAAATCATTGAGTACGACATAAAGCAATAACCAATCTATAAAGCTATAACGACGCGCCTTCTCCTACGATGTCTACTTACAATAAGAATCAAACTCTGAAAGAATGGAATCACTTCCTCATTTCAGTCTATCTACACGACATATTCAGTATGTATTATAATAATACTTTCAGTTCTATCGTAAATCTCCAAAACTCCTTTTTGAATTCTACGCCATCAATTATAAAAATGCATCATTAGCTCCAATAACCAATGGTGCCGAAATTAGCACGGAGAATCAACGGCGCAAGCGCGGTAGCTCTTACTGGCTAGAATTTTTGACGTAGCATGATTACACCCAATGAGATCTCTCAACACGATGACTAGCTATACAGCGCCATCAGCGTCTTCTCACGCTGAGAATAGACACTAAAAACCCTTAGTCCTCTCCTACTATCGATGCAATGTGCGTAGTGCCGGCAACCCGTAAGTTAACCTACAAACTCAACATGTGACGCAGTTAAAATTAAAAATTAAAATTCGGACTCCTAAAATAGGCATCTAACCATACAAGACACCAACGATGGGTCTCAAAATCTTGTGAGATAAACAAATATTACTCTAATGAAAAGATAGACAGTATATTACTTGGATATCATCGCAANCATCGCTTCTCCTGTTATTTACTCACGACAAGTGTTAAATACTGGAAGAAGGCTACCAGTTCCCTATTTTAACCTATTTACATGATATATTCAGTGCTTTTTATAATAATAATATACCCAATCCTATCATGAAACTCCAAAACTCCTTTTGAATTTTACGCCATCAGCTATAAAAATGCGTCATTAGCTACGATAGCCAATGGTGCTGAAATTAGCACGGAAAATTAACGGCGCAAGCGCGGTTGCTCTTATTGGCTAAAATCCTTTGACGTAACATGATTACACCCAATGAGATCTCTCAACACGATGGCTGTCTATACAGCGCCATCAGCGTCTTCTCGCGCAGAGAATAAACACTAAAAACCCTTAGTCCTCCCCTGCTATTGATGCAGAGTGCGTAGTACCGGCAACCCGTACGTTAACCTACAAACTTAACATGTGACGCAATTAAAATTCGGACTCCTAAAACAGGTAACTAATCATGCAAGACAACAACGATGGGTCTTAAAATCTAGGCGAGATGAAAAAAAATTGCTCTAGTGAAAAGATAGACAGTATATCACATGGATATCATCGCAATTTATAAAAACACGAGATGCAACTAATGCGCATAACTAAACTGAACCCTAAAAGCAAGTACCAGGCATATCGTAAAATTGGTGCACCTGAGAAAAATCAAGTTGCTACAACAGTCACAACAAGGTCAGGATTGCATAAGAATTATACAGGATCTAAAAATTTTTTCTAAGTAAAATAATAATGAGACTATTTTAATAGATAGAAGTCACCTTGTGCAAATGCGCATGCTCCAATGTATAATAGCTACCCTATAACTAATAATCTAACTGGCCTCTACCTGTTTCAAGATCTTATAATGCGCATGGCATATGTAAGTGCATTGCTCGATACCTTTCACAACCTAAATTACTTCGACAGATTATATAACCTTCAATAATTCTTACAGCCCAAACTGTCAATGCGTCACATGATGTAGCCAGGTGATTATGATACGAGTCTCGGTCAACCCGTACGTTAATATATAAACTCAACATGTGACGCAACTGAAAAATCAGTTTCCTGTAATATATACATAACCCATGCGAGACGCCAGTGGAAAGTTTTCTAAAATTAAAGTGCACCAAGCAAATATCGCTCTAGTGCGAAAGTTAGCCAGTGTACTATCTGGATCTTACCACAATCTATAGAAAACAAGAAGCATAACTTTCACGTGTAAGCAAGCTAAATTCCAATAAGCAAGCATCAGGCAGACTGCGAACAAGCAGCGTATCTGCAAATAATTAAGATTCTATAATAGTCACAACAAGGTTAGAAATACATAAGAATTTACACAATAGTTTATAAATATTAAACCAATTAAATTACGTAAATAGCTACAATATGATTATCTTAATAGCTAGAGGCCACCTTCTGCAAATGTGCATGCTCCAATATACAACAGCGATAACCAAGAACAGACACAATGATATTCGCAATGGAAAACATGCATGCGATGTAATGTTCTATTGGCTAACTCAAATGATGCATCCTGATGCTATCCAACAGTTAATTTATCCTGCTACCCAAGGATCTACAATGCGCGTGGCATATGTAAGTGGTACTTATTGAAATCCAACATAACCTAAACTATTCTGACAGATAACTCCAATAGCTCTTTACATAAATTAAATTTCGAACTTTCAATACTAATTAAACAAAGCAATGACCCCAACTTAATGTGTG